CTTTTCACTCTTCTTTTCATCTCGCTTCTCAAAATAGAGCATCAGCTGCAGGGCTAGGATGCAGCAGAGAGAACTACATCCACTTTATATAGCCCAATAAGTAGTGGGAATGAGGGGGCAGGGGAAAAAGAGAGAGAGAAAGAGCAGAAGTTTTTGCTCATGGAGCAAATGGGGAATACTTATCTTTCCCAGCATCATTTTCAGAAAGTTTCCCAGCAACTGGTTAAGATCTCTGAAACTCAAGTCCTTTCTTTTTCTTACTCCTCCTTTCTTCCCCTCCTACAATGTGGAAGGGTGGAAAGGCTCATTTTACCCTCACCAGGTGCCCAAATGATCTCCTGAAACACAACTCAGGACCCCAAAGCTATTTCCACATCTCTTTAATACCTTCACCCTTGGTTGCAAATCGGAAGGACCTGTGGCTGTCTGAAGGGTTTTCCCTTGGGCTCCTGCACTTCTCCAAGCTGAGCAATGCTGGTAGTTACATTAGGACCAAAAAACAAGCAAGGAAGCCCCAAGAAGGATAACTCCACTGTTTGATGTCCCAGGCCAGGCAGTGCAAAGAGGACAGATTCTATTACCCAAACCCATGAGGCAGGCAGATCATATCCCACACTGGACTACTTCACTAGTGTTAAAAGGAAAACTTCAAGAAAGTGAACTTCAAGAAAGCCAATCCTAGGAAAAGAAATCTAGGGAAGGACAAGATAGGAGTAGAGACAGCCAAAATAGACTGAGGCTTTTGGTTTTGTTTTGGCAGGGGTTTCTTAAATTTATTTCTTAGTTTTTCATCAGACTTCTCAATGATGATTATTTGTTCATCTCCATTTACCAGCTATGCAGCATCTTAATTCATTACTATTTTAGATTCTGCCAATTCTTCTATTCTCTACTGCTCACCTCCATCTCCCTCACCCTTCAACCCTTTATTTTCCTCTGAAATATATTCCCTCCTATTTAAATTTGTTGTTGTCATTATTTTTCTCAGAGCGTCTTAATTTTCTGCCATTTAGCAACATGCTATAGACTCCACGGTGCATGAAGTGTTTGCAACTTTGTCCTTTAGGGTGGCCAAGCACATCAACTGTTCCTTAGGCACTGCTCTCAAACACCATAAAAACAGATGCCACCCACAGGGCTCTCTTAACAAGCACTGTATTCAAAACAGCCTTTGACATGCTGACAGTAGAGTGTCTCTGAAAACATCCCTATTTGCTTGCATCATACTTGACTAATGGAGCTGCTCTTCATGAAGAATGACATTTTGAGTGATGGAACCAAAACTCCCAGGGAATTCAGTTATTTCTAAAGAAATTGTTTAACTTGCCAGAAGCATTTTTCTTCAACTTTTTTAACATGAAAAAAAGAAACATTTTGAAATGAAACTATCTTGGGAAAAAAAAAAAAAGAGGTTAAGACAAAATGGTTAAATAACTGCAGAATAAAATGTTTCACTTCATTAGGCAAAGGATTTCAACTCAGTCCAAATTGGGTTGGGGGAAGAGACAGGAGGTCAGGGAAGTGAGCAGAGTGATGCAATACCAAGTGAGGGAAAGTGAGACACCCATCTTAGAAGACATTCCTTTAGATTATTCTTAATTTACAAGAAAAAAAATCAGCACATCAATTCAATCAGCAAACTGTAGTGGCTGTTATAAATGTTGTGGATGTTATCAGCACTTGATTGATTTCTCACTTCCGTGTGGATATCTAGTCTTAGATTCATGCATTTTTTCTTTGCTGACATCTTCTCTGGAGAGCTCTCTAGATCTGTTATCCAGAAACAACTTTGTCCCCATAACAATTCAGATCTCTGTAATATGGATCTTTTACATCAGTTAGATGCTGTCCTCGATATCCTGCTTATCTATTATCCTCTAAATACCAAAAGCTTTGGGAAGGAGATGATGGAATTTCACAGATTGGGCTTATCTCAAAAGATAGTTTCAGATGCCAGTTCAAGGTCTTGACTTTAATCTTCAAAGCAATTAACAGATGAGCCTCTGCTATCCTGGAGACCAAATTGCTATCTATACTTTTCCTAAACATTTGTGCTTCTTTGGGACAATGCTGATCACAAAACCCAGACCAAGCTTCATAAGAGCTGGAGCAAAACATTTTCTGTTATAGGAATAGGCTATGAAACAAGTCTACATGGGAGAGGGAGGGGAGAGCTTCATTCCACTCTCCTTTGTACCACTTTAAACCTTTGGCTACAGAAACAACAAAATATTTACCCTGCTCTATCCCCAAATAAATTGGGGAAAAAAAACAACAAAACAAGACATGGAAAGTATTTTATTCAATTGGACAAAGCGCAGAGAAAGTATTTTTAAAGTATTTAGGAGAGTTTTAGCTAATGTTATGGTTATAGGAAAAGGTACAGGCAACAATGTAAGCTAGTCAGGATTGTATGGTATGCACTCACATGAGCCAGTAGCCTTGTGTTAGCCTTGGAGACCACAGTTTGGAAAACACTGCACCAATAAGTAGAATCATGAATCAAACACATTGTAACTAAATTTTGTCTTCAAAATAGAGCAGCCCATCTCAGCAGAAATAATACATTCTACGTAGCCACTCTATCACCACCTCAAAAATATCTTCTGTCCTATGCCACTCACATACATAATCAGAATTATTAAATATGAAAAAATATGCCTTTAAAACATTAGGTTCTGTTTCTTTTGATACACATTCCAATAGAGGCACATCCAATAGGGCACAAAGTTAAACAGCTGCAGTCATTGCAAAAATGAGCTGAAATAATGAGCATGAGCAGGCAGGAGAAAACTGTGTGCCAGTGCATGGGTGAATCCACAAAACTAACCTCCTGAACTCTCAAGCAGGAGTCAGATATTTGCTAGCTGCAATCAGTATGGACTTCTAATAAAGAAACATGAGATCAACCCACCAATTAAGAAGATGCTCCTCTGCTGTGCTTTTGCACATAGTCTATTTAGAATGGAGAAACTGGGAGGTTAATCCTAGCAAAAAAGATATCATGCCAAGACATGGGGCCTTGAAATGAGAGCATGGTATTAGGAAGGTGAAGACACTGGCCCATGGAGAGGTCCATGGAAAAAAAAAGGTAGATACTGGAAATAATGCAAATGTGGAAACCAGTGCCAAGGGATGCCCATAAACCTGGGACAATGGTACCCAAGACCAGTAACTACAAAAAGCATCATAGCAGAAAACACAGTTTGCTGTCCAACCTTCCCAGGTAGGCTGTGCCCTCCCTCCAGGGAAAGGAGGTCAGAACATAGGAAAGAAACACATAGGAAAGAAACAGCCAAAGAGAATAAACACAACATAAATGAAAAATTCCCACTGAAGCTTTTACAGAGGTGATACTCCCTGCCTACTCAAGGATTCTGGATGAAACTTAGAAAGAATGCTATGGGATGAGAGGGAAGCAGGGACGAAGAAGTACTGCTGTTAATTTGGCATTTAAAGGAGCTGAATGGGAGCCAGAAGTAGTACAGGTGGCATCTCAATTCCCCTTCCTTTAGAAAAAAAAATATTTTTAATACAGTAACTTTTTGTTTCCATTAAGGCATTTTTAGCTGTGAAGTAAGGACAGTTAAGAACAGTAGTTAAAACTGCAGTTTTTAGATGACAGTTCTGAAAGCCATTTCACAAGTGATGGCTAATGATACGCACACATAGTTTCTTCAGAGTCAAAAATAGCTGCTGGGTAGTAGGGATGCAGAGGGTTGTTGTCAGGCATCCTAGGGAAGGACACTAAGCAACACAAAAGAGACAATACTGTTGTCTTTGCACAGGGCAGGAAGGAAGTGTGGAGTTTATAAAAAATTATATATTCTGTTTTGTTCTTTGTGTTGAATACTAGCTCTAAGACTCCTCTGCTACACAGCATTCGAGGCAGCTGACTGGTTTTCAGACACCTGAATAAAAGTCAGTCTGACAGCCACCAAGGCTTCAAATCTGGAATTTTGACTGCATCTCAAACAATGATTAATCTCATTAAATAAGTAGCACAGGAATCTGCAAGGTACACAGATGGGAAAAAAACTATGGTGGCAGTTTTGGAGTTTGCTACCTTGTGTAGAGCAACATTTTGTTCTTACTAGGAAATCGGTCAAAACCATAAGCAATGATCTGCAAGAACAGCTAGCAGGAAAAATTGGGCAAGAAAAATGACCCAGCACAAAATACTGCTGGAACATTGCCACGTTAAAAACATCATGTTCAGATAAGATATGAAGAACCTCAAGACACATTAAAAATCTGCAATTTGAGTTCCTGTGGTAAGATACTCTTTCTAAAACTGCAGTACTCAATTCCTTTGCATTATGTTTATTTACTCTGATTCCCAGTGGCTAAATCCTAGGACACCACAAGAGAATGGAATGCAAATGTCTTCAGGGGAGAAGGTGAAGAGGGAAAGGAAGTAGCTCTCAAAACACAGCAGGCATTAATCTAAATAATTTATTATAACAGACTAAGTATTTGGGCTCAGTGCATTCCCATGACAGAATGTGGTTCACTGGTTTAGTGCAACAGGAGAGGGGCCTACATAGTTTAAGAGACTAAAGTTTCTCAGAGCTAGAAAAAGGTAGAAACTCTACTAAAGCCCAGTGGGTCCTGAAGCACATGGAATCAGGTATTGGCAGTACTGCACTGCTTTATCAAGACCCTCTTTCTCGCAGCTTCCATGGTCGGTTTCCCAAGCTACAACACTTTGTTTTTGGCCAGTTCTGTTTATTCCCCACTCTTCTGCAGTCAAAACTGTGGCAGTTCTGTTTAATCCCAACTCTCTGCAAGGTCAAACAAAGAACAGCATGAAGCAGTAGAACCCTGTGTCTGACGACACTTTCCAACGCAAGTGCATTAGTTCTATCTGCTAGCACAGAGGCTTTCATCTTCTCCATTTCTTCCTCTGTGAGGAAGAATCCTTCAAGGAACAATGATCCCAGAATCACAGAATATTGGAAGGGATCTACAAGGATCTTCGAGTCTAGCTCTTAAATGAATGGCCTATAAGGGAATCAAACCCACAATCTTGGTGTTATTAGCACCCTGTTCTAACCAATGAAGCCAATCAGAGGTACTGAATGATGTCCTTAAAAACAAAACAAAAAAACAAGGCTGAAACACATCACACTCATTGTTGAATAATTTCTTTTTCTGCTTGCCTCACGTCCTTACAAAGCTTATGTTGATGCAGTAATCTCTCATCCTATGACTGTGAGACATAACCATCTCTTACCCTCCCATAGCTGCAGTGAGGTGGCAAGAGTGTCAACAAAAACGCATATCCATCATGAGTATGATTGACATATTGATGAATGACAAGTTTAGTAAAATACTTTGGGTGGTACTGTGTCAACACAAGGTGTTCCAGATTCATCTGAACTTTCTGATATTCATCCGTTCCCTCAGCTCCTATTAATTTTAATGGCAAGCAGCACTTCATAAACAAGGTCTGCAGGACCATAAATTGCCATTCCAGTTAATTATCAGTTCTGCCAAGAGCAATAGCTGATATTGCTAATCCATATGCACAGTTATAATAGTTATTATGCTGCTTTTTGATGACTTTAGCCATGGTTGGGATATGGAACTTTGGGCTTAGGGAGAGGGATAAAGTTCCAGAACGATTCCTTCCATTTCATTTGGTGTGCATCATTGCAGTTGAAAAGTAACAGTCAAGCCTGCATATAAACACTGAGCACTCAAGATATTTCACTTGGCCAAATTTACAGAGCTGCTGACATTGCAAATGCCTGTAGTTAAAAGCCAGCTGCAACATACAAAGTAGGGAAGAGGAGTATGAGAGCATCTATAGACAATTTATAAGGTGAACAACTAAAAAGAGGGGAGATACAGGAGAGAGGGATTTTCTTTGATTCTCTGCAGGATTTATTAAATCCTTATCTTTATTATTTACTTACACTCCATTTACAGTTCGTGAATTCTATCAGGCAGTCACACCCAATATCTCTGTCCTATTTTAAAACACAATTGTGAATAGATACCTGAGTCAGTCTAAACTCTATGGCAAAAAAAGAAGTGAATAAACACCCTACCATACAGTCAGAGAATTTAAATGCTAATTTAAATACATACTGTTGGAATAAGAGCTCCTAAAAATCCTTGATTATGTTATCTAGCCAGAAGTCTAGTAATCCGAACATAAAAATATATGTAACATGACCATCTATCTTATTCTATAAAAGGTTGTTTCAACTATCAGAGTATAAAAGCGGACCAAAATTCTGAATTTCTACTTGTGGGAAACTTCAAAACAAAAAATTTTCATTTATGTGACTGTATGAAATGGCAGTTCTGAACAGAAAACTGTGCTGATCTTTCAGAACCTCCAATTATTTCTTCCACATTTGGCAGGGATTCCCATTAATTCACAACAAAAAAGTTGTACTGTATGATTACATATTACTATTATTGATGCCAGTACATGGATGTTCCATTATTTTCAATATTGTCTAGGGAAATTAGTAATTAGTACTGTTTGAAGAATCTAAATTTTTTCCTATTAAATTGTTTGACACAAAACCATGTAAAATAATATTTCTATATCTATAGCAGCAGTCAATACATTAAGAACAAAACACGTTTCAGAAGTTTGTGAATTTTTGTTTGGGAAGTTTCATGTTGTTTTTTTTTCTCTAATCCATAATTAACACACACAAAATGTTGTCAGGAAAATTAATACCTACAAAATAAACATTTGCTTAGACAAGGCCAATACCTAAATAAATCCAACAGCTATATATACTAGTCAGCAATGAAAGCAGAGATGCAATCACAGTGAACACAAGTGAGACATCTCAGCAGATGCTAATAGACACTGGGCAGAAGGAATTCTCAGGCACTTTGCAGATCAGGGGGAAGACATCAACTCCACATGCATGTTCCAAGGCCTTCCCTTCTTCCAATAACCACTTATGCAACCAGGCTCATCTCCAAAATGCTAAAGGAAGATAAACTCTGAAACTATGTGCCACTAAATGTCTTCCTAGTTATATGCAAGCTGCCACCTCCTCAACTTGTTTAAAAACATATTCACAAGAACAGTGCAGTACATAAGACTGGGTAAATGACCATAAATGCTCAGGTAGAGCTTCTATTCATGTTAAAGGTTTAAGCAGCAAAGGGATAAAAGCCCAAAGCTTAGATCGTTAACCAAAGTCTCTACTTGATTTGTACAACACTGGCTCAGCACAAACTAAAATCCCATCTCTCCCTTGATGCTACTCTGCTAATGAGGCACAAAAACCAGAGGTAGTTAATGAATATGATGCATTATTTTCTGTCCAGAGTCAGCACAATGTTGCTTGGCACAGGTGCATATTAACAATGATGAATCTGAAAAGTTCACTTTGATTAATTACTCTGATTTTCACATTCACTACCTCATACAAAGGGAAGGCGGATGACAATGTTGGAAATATTTCTCCCTTTACCCCCTGGATATTTTGTGCTTTTTTAAAGGAAGCCAAAAAAAAAATAAAACCCTGTTTCTCAGCATCTATTTTTAGTTATAACTTTTTGCGGCTTAGAAGAGGAATCAGATTGTCTTAAAACATAGCTCCAAGGAAGGCAAAGAAGAATTAAGAAAGCTTCTGAAACAGTTAAGCAGTTGTTGAAAGAAAACCATTTCCTTATCGAGCAGGGATGTGTAGACACAATTATTGCCAACACCCTTAATATTCTTCATAGAAGTAGACATTTTTCAGGTCTCAGGCCAAGAGTATGAGGTGTAGCAGATAAGCATTTATACTGAAACACTTTTCCAGAAGCCAAAGACTTAAACAGTGTCCTCAAAGGGCTCGGATTCCAGGGAACTCCACATCAGATCTGATCCACCATGAGTTCACCAGACCTGAGTGATATAAAGACAGTTCAAAATTGTAACATGTTCTATCATAGTTTCCATAAAAAAAGGTTTTCAGTATGTAAGCTAATAATTTTGAAACTGCAGCCAAAACTTAGACCTGCAAATCCATAGCCTATACAACACAGTTTGAGTCTAGAAATCAGATCTTTCGACTCAAATGTTTCTGAATTCAAGGTCATCTACATCTGAGTCTATGGTCACACTGACATCCTCTATATATAATGAAGAAACATTTCCATCCTGCATGGAATAAAACAACAATGGCTCCCCAAATACCATGTTCAAGTTTAAAATAAGCAATCCACCAGAGTAAAACAAATGTGACATTAAACATAAATAAAAACACAGATGGAAAGCATGCTTGCTTGAAAATTACCAGCACCAACTAAGTATCCTTAAATAAATAAATGTGTTTTTCTCATACTTTGTGCCATCCAAGCCAGCCAATAGTCACCAATTCAACTGCAAGAAGGTGGTGAAACTGACAGTACCATTTTTTTAAGCAAAGTTACTTAGCTACAAGTAACAAGAGAATCCTTGCTGTTGGATCACATCAGGTCCAACTAGACATTTTGGAGGAGGATGTATTTTGATTTCCACCATCAGCAAAAGGGAAAGTGAACTAGACACAACTAAATTATTTTCCAAAATTGCAGGAGGCATTGCATAGTATATATGATAACATATAGACAATATCACCCAGGCAATCCACTGTAATTAGTTTCTTTGGTGCAGATTACTTTCAGTAGGCTCACAAAAATTGAACTTGATTCACTGGAGACACTCTGGGTTCAGTTATTAACATTTTAGCCCTTAAAAAAGGAAAGGAGGTCTTTATAGCATACATTAACAAGTATACTTGTCAATAGAAATCAAGGTAGTATCAAGATGTGAATTTTATTTATTTAATTCTAAGTAACAAAACAACTCAAAGAAAAAGAAAAGGAAAAAGAAAAAAGTACATATTTTGTCACTGATTAACAAATTCAGTTATAATCTACCTGAATAAGCCTGGAGCAGAGATATCAAGAGTGTTGCAGCAGTTCCTAAATCTGGATTAAATTGACAATACTATTAAACAAGTGCAAGATTTATCCCAAGGCCCCAGGGATACTGCTGACCAGCACTTGACAGGGGAGGGAGGTAAGAGAGACATGCATCCCATGCCCATGCCAGCTGATGTGATTAGGGCTGGTCAGCCTGCCTATTTCTGCAGAGGCTGCATCTGTTCCTGAGAGCAGTTGCCTTAACACATTGAGTCATATTCCTGCTTGCCAACTCCAAGTCTCTTTCTAGTTGAGGTGAGCCAAGTCCTGATAATTCTCAAGTATCTCCATGCCTCAAATGACACTAGAAATGGGGAGAATATGCCTGCTCCAGAGATCAGAGGACTGAGCCTGTAGAACCATAAACAGATTTAACGAATTGTTTTAACAGTTACAGAACCATGTTTCTATTTTCCTTTGGAATCAACTTTTACATTATAACTTTTACATTTTAACATAGGAAAAAAGCAGATGGGAAACTGAAAAGTTCTGCTCAGATGCAGTTACGATGTTTTAAATTTCCCTTTAGGAAACTCTGATCTTCCTTACTATCAGTTCAAAACAAAGGTATAAAAACAAAGTTATCAAAAGAATCAAAACATTTCCAAAATAAAATTTTAATCTTAATACAGGGAGCTATACATAAGATAAACATAAGCTACATTAAGAAAACCATGACCTAATGCTGCAAAGATTGATTTTGTTCTATACTTTGCAGTTTTCATCCAATGAAAATGGATTGCAATTAAATTGACTTATATTTTTTTCTTTTTTATGCTCAAGTAGCATAGCCTTTTTTAGTCTCCCAAGGTCCACACAGGATATAATGAACTATTAAAATCAAAGTCACAGTTTTCTATTACTCAGCTAATAAAAGGCACAAGCAATTAGCTAAGGTAAGGCACGTAGTTCATAAAGGGGAAATTAAAACTCCATTTCTGATTAGATGCTAACAAATTGGTTTAAAAAAACCACACTGACAAAAATAAAGCCAGAAAAAAATATATATATATAATTTTAAAAAATCAAAAACAAGAGCACCTTACTTTTTGTGCTGGGTTTGGCTGGGATAGAGGTAATTTTCTCCACAGTAGATAGTATGGGGCTAAGTTTTGTTTTGCTTTGCTTTTGGGCCGGAAA